CAGGGTGGCCGCAGGAATTCAGCAGGGCTCCGGCGGAGCTGGGAGCGGCTCCAGCACGCAGGGCACATACAGCTCCAGAGCTGAGAGGCAGCGTCAGCTGGCTGCTGTGAGGTTTCCTGGCGTGCTCTTGCCATCTCAAGGGGGAAAAAAGCCAACCTCACACACCCTTGAAGATTTGCCAACTGCTGAATGAAATGATCCGCTTTTCAGACTTGCTAGTCAGCGAACCGAGATACTCCCATACTACGGATGATGCAGTTGCAATGGTCTGATGGTATGAGCAAGGCCGGATCTGTAAGGGAAAGCAGTTATCTTTTAACAGACCAGTTACTACACTTAGAAAAACAGACAAGCTCTTGAGCACACAGCTCCTGGACAAACACTTAGTGCTCCAAAAGATAGCGCCCCCCACCCCCACCCCCCCGAGTAAGTTAGTTGATTTAGTGAATAATTTCCACGAAATGTTGTCTAACCTGTTCTTTAAAAAAAGCCCTGCTGGCCTGGTTAGCTCCAGAAATTATTTGAAGTAACAGGAATTAAAATTTCAGGCTTAGCACACATGGGTTTAAATGATTACATTACACCAACGAAAACTGCTCCTGTACTTCCTCAGGCTGAGTTACTTCTAATGAGATTCTTGTTAAACTCCTCTGTCATTTGAGCTGATTTTTTACCTCTCTTTATATTTTTTCGGTATTTGTCAGCAAATGAATTTAAATCTGAGAAGCACAAGGTAACAGCCAGAGGACTGTTCTGCTTCAAGATGAGTTGTTTCTATAGAAAGTTCTCATGATGACATGGATTGTAGTAGATACAGAAGAATTTTTGCCATGTGGGTGTTTTTTCCAGGCCCAGTTTTTAGGTCCAGGATATTTCCTGATCGGACACGAGCAACTGAGAAATGTTGTGTTGCATTTTGAAACTCTCCTTCTCCTGTCTCATTTTTTGTTTCAAGGAATATAAGCATGCAAACACACCCAGCTAAGCATGTGAGTCCTCTTACTGAAATGGAAGACATGACTCATTTAGGCCCATACGACTGGTCCACACTGAATAGGGGTCCTGAAGCTGGAGAGTAGGGTACATTAAGCCACGAGTCAGGAAAGAAATTAATTTTGAGTTGCAAGCTCCTGAAATCTTGCCATAGTTATTTCTGAATTGCTCTTTTAGAGGGAGAAGCGGGACTGTTTTTGAGAAGATGACGTTAGGGACGCCGTAACTCCAGTGTACTTCTAAATGCCTGTGCTGTTTAATTCTGCCAGCATTAATCTGAATGTCCTTTGGCTGGGACTAATTTATGTGAGGAGTAACCATTCTTAGGGCACAGCAGGCTGTCACTAGAAGTCCCTCCATCTTGTCTGCAGTCTTCATGCTCATACATTCCTTTTCACCCACGTGAAGGAAGGTGCATACACTTTGCTCATGCAGGGAATGCACTTTTTGCTGTTTAACAGAGGACGAGTTGCAAGAATTTGGGGGAAGATACTAGCAAGGAGCAAGCCATGACCAGAGAAATTATTCTGGTAGACCAAATTACATCTGCAGGCCATAGCCTGGGCACCACTGATTTGGGTAGTTATGTTTTAAATACATGTGCATTCACAGTTTTGTCAAAGCGAATGAGAAGTATGCTGAAGGAAAACAAGCTACAAAAGAGAATCGTAGAATCATAGAATCAGTAAGGTTGGAAAAGACTTCTAAGATTATCAAGTCCAACCATCAATCCAACACCATCATGCCTGCTAAACTATGTCCCAAAGTGCAACATCTACACTTTTTTTGAACACCTCCAGGGATGATGACTCCATCACTTCCCTGGACAGCCTGTTCCAATGCCTGACCACTCTTTCAGTAAAGAAATTTCTCCTAA